GTGCAATTGGTGTAAAATGATAAGAAATTAAACTTCACAAAAACCTAAAAACTAGAGTTTTAAATTGTTACCACCTTGGTAATCCTTTGACATGCCAATTTTATTTCACAATCTATCAAAGCCTTCTTGAATCACACAGGTATACTGTAACACTCCCACAGGCAAAGGTAAGAAGGCCACAGTAAGTAAATTTTATGGTAGACATCCTCCGCGAACTCCAAATCTAATGCAATATGGCGAAAAAAAACACAACGCGGGCCTAAAAACAAGATTCTACATCTTAAGATGTTAACATAACGAACCTTGTTAAACAAGAAATGATTTCATTTCTAAATCCTTTGTTCGAAATCTTGTTCCTGTTCCTTTATTCTCATGCTAAAAATACTACAGTGGCTCAGAAAACCTGCAAGCAACGACGAGCCCCTTCTTCCCGTTTTTAGCTCGACCTCTAGCCCTGCCGTGTGGTATAAAAACGAGAAATGAAACTGTTAGTTCTCATTCTGGGATGTTTTATCGAAACATTTACCGTTTTCTTTCTTTCACGGATATACTTAGGGCGATTTGAAATGGAATTGCAAAAAGATTAAACTAAAATACCGTAAAGAGTACTATATGTCAGCTTGACATTTTTTTTGTAAGGAAAACCTTAAACATCTCACGTAACAAAACAAATCCTCCGCTGAATAAGCACTTTGACCGGGAAATATTTGCTCAGCGATATTGGAAGCTCGCTTGTGTTGCAAGACAAATATTAGTCACTACAAAAGGTTTCCCCAGCGGAAATTTAACTTCTCCTTTTTCAATAAATGTCTCTGTCGACATAAAAGGCTGGTAAACAATGGAGGAGTATCAATCCGAAAGGAGACAGGGAAATTGCCGCTTTCGGCCATTAGGAAGGTAAATAGAACCTTTCTAGTGGAGCGGCTGGAACCGGCGGCAGGTGGTACAGACCGGCTGGGTTCACATCGCACACGGTTAGCTCACTATCGCGTCAGGCGGTACCGGTGAACTACTACACACACGGACAACTGTTCCTCTTCCTCAGAACTGGTAAGTATCAAGACGCACTAACCACGATAGAACCTGCTTATTCCATGTTATTTTGCAAAGCCAACTGTGGTAATATCGCCACACACACAGCAGACAGGCTGGCTTCAGGATTCAGTTTGGTTTGCCTTGGAACAGGTATGTTTGACTGTAACAGGAAATCATGATGGCGGCCATACGTATACAGGTACGAGATTGTTACCCTCTGTCTCCCCATGACATGCAAAATACGAAATCATTGCAAAGATTTTAGTGATATTATACAACATCCTGAGCCAAGATCAGGTTTGTTATACATTTTATCTCTTATTTATATCTTCCATTAACGATTATAGTAGCTTGCCTAGGCTTTTCCTCGTGTATAAACCGTACCGTCGATAATACATAAGGAACCAAGGCGGTTCCGCCAAGACACGCATTTGAAGACCATCGGTTGATTTCTGCTAAGAATTGTAGTAAAACGGTCTTTGTTTTCGTACAATTCGAATACGTCATTTTAATTGACATATCATTTTTACTGTATGAAATGAATCCTACGTGTCCGGTACATAAAACATGCTTAAATATACGTGCAAAGGAAGAAACGGAAGCTTTACGCATGCTTCAACGCATATATATGTGTAATGAATGGATTTTGTGCTATGTCTGTTTTTGTAATGTACATGTAGTGCATTGACTTCACCTGTTCAGCGAAGACAATGCGACGTACATTTATTTGTATCATTAAGATAAACTATGATCATAGAACGCATTCTTATTATCTTACAAACATTGATAAGGACATTTTGTCGGGCACCATTAAATATACCGTATGCATAGCGTCAAACCCGGAAATAATACAAAATGAATGCAAAATTCTCTCACTGTATTCTAACATTTGTAGTTATCAGCATACAGAATTCTGTACAAAACAAATATTTTGTAAAGAGGCGACCCTTGCAGACAGTTATAGATCATTGTACGATGTTTTTTTTTCTATCGAGGGTTTCTGGCAAGTTCCTCTCAAATGCGTGACGTCACATCTTTTGTATACCCAGTTGTATTTGGATCCAGTCGGGTGTGGTCGGTAATCGTCGGGTGTGGTCGGTAATCATCGGGTGAGGTCGGAAAGCGGAAACGACTGACAGCGGGTTAAAAGTGCGCCGAATGTTATTATTCAGAAATGATCTATTTATAGATGGGAATTTATACAATCATTATCTCATCTTCTTGTAAGAGTCTCGCGTAAGTTCATGACCCTGTTCTCCAGTCTTTCAGCACTGCACTAACACAGGCTTAATGGTGTTAATAAATAAGGCTTAAATATTTCAAAATAATTAAGCAGTATTTAAGTCACACTTAAGTAAAACAGTGAAACATAGTCTTCTCTCACGGATGTCTTAAGATATGGGAGGGTGGGGTGTCAGTCCCCACACAGAAAGTTCTTTGTGGAATAATATGCTCCTTCCTAGAGATGTTCCGGGCAGAACTTAGCAGCTTGGTGTAGCTAGGTTCCATCAACTCAGAAAACATCACAGATACAAAAATATACCGTTGATGTTTCGTATCAACAAAATGAAATCTTTTTGGGATGTAAATATTTGTTTCCTTTAGTGTCAGAGACACATTGTACATGTAGTACGGATGATACCGCTATGGGCGAAATGGACGAAAATTCCAAGCAAATAATATAAAATATTCCTCTCTCTTTCATTAACAAAGTGAGAACGCTGTGTATTTGTAGTCATTCTGTCACAAAGGTTAGTCAGAAAGGACTCAAACGTGAATACGTTTTACAAGTAGTTCGAAAGACGAAGTATTTTCCCATGCCACATCAATGCCCTGCTGCGTAGGCTCAGGCGACTCATTAAACTACTTCTAGTACAAAAGGAATGGAGCTTAATGACCAGACAACCATTGTGTGCGGTTCTGAAAGGTGTTTATGTTTAGGACAAAAATGTGAACTATTCACTGAAAGCGCACACACACGTCAATACCAGAGAAGACGTCATCTAATTGCGAGAGAGTTCTTTCCGCAGAAGACGACCCTTTCTAAAGATAATAACGCACAGGTTTTGTACGTTTCTTGCTTGCGCACGAGAAAACGAGAAACTGAGCGTTACCAGCACCGGGCTTTGACTGAAGTGGCACAGAAGAGCGATGTCTGCCTGATCAAAGCCGTGAACACGTCTGACGTTCCCTCATCCTGCGTCCTTCAGACAACACACAGCTCACTCGGGACCACTCCGATACTAATTGGCTTATGTTGTCGTGAAATAAGAGGCTTGGGATGAGGGAGAAAAATCAGTAGAATACAGTTACGGGCAGAACGTATGCCATTGTAGTACCGCCTCAAACACTTTCTCCATGCTTCAATTCCCAGCGGTAACTTTATCTGTGGTTTGAACATGTTTTCTTTTCATGTCTTTTTGTTAGGTACCTCTATCACCGTGTCTATGCTAAACCGTGATTCCATCCGTGCCCAGATAGGCCGAGCCCGGCGTGCAAAGCTGTGTACAACATGAATGTTTTGTTCGTTCGGCTCGCGTTATCTTGGCATGGCCTGTTGTAGTACCCTGGATAGACGGAAGCACTCGGGTGGGAGAGTTCTCTGCCGCAGCCCTGTTCAGCAGCAGGGGAACACCTGAAACCTTCCACCGGAAGTCGGTGAGACGAACTCCATCGTTAGGAGAAAACGGACATGGGGACAGCGGTGGTGCACGCAACACCCAGAACACTGTCGTGAAGGGGGGGGGGGGGGTGACTACGGGAAGAAAATACGAACGTACAGGCAGGGATAGCACTGCTACCAGAGAAAACCTGACGCCAGAAAATCCATAGGTTGTCCTATGCATGTGTTGCCTGCAGTTGGTTTTTACCACGACTGCGTATGTTCTATTCTCTTATGTATCTTATATTTTCTTTCTTTGTGTAAAACACTTGGTTTCCTTTAGTTGGGATTTTAAACTAAATTAAAACTAAGTAGCTGATCCCACCCATAGAAAACAATGTTTATCAGAACTAATTTAAAAATAAAAAGTGAGGCCAACGGGACTCAAATCAGGGTCCTCAAGGTTACAAGACTAATGTGCAAAACTACTGTAGATTGCTTGCACTAACGCCTGAATTAGGATATTTCTCTTCAGTATTTCCTGTCATTTCAGTGTCGTTGTTACCATTGGTAAAAAATAAAACTCTTTACATCAATCGGAATACTTACTCTTTTCGATTTATATATGCACAGTCAGACACATCCATACACACACACACACACACACACACACACACACACACACACACACACACACACACACACACACTTACACACACACATTCACACACACACACACACACATCCGCACACACACTCACACATCCGCATTCTCTCACACACACACATCCACATACACACACACAAACACACACATATACACACACACACAAACAAACACACACACAAACACACACATACACACACATACACAAACAAACACACACACACACACAGACACACATCCACACACACAGACACACATCCTCACACACACACACACACACACACACACACACATACACACACACACACACACACTTACACACACACATTCACACACACACACACACACATCCGCACACACACTCACACATCCGCATTCTCTCACACACACACATCCACATACACACACACAAACACACACATATACACACACACACAAACAAACACACACACAAACACACACATACACACACATACACACACACACACACACACACACAGACACACATCCACACACACAGACACACATCCTCACACACACACACACACACACACACACACAAGACACACACAAAGACACACACAGGCATACATACACCCAAGAAGGATGCCACATATGCTGAGACATACCCCGTGTACGCCTCTATCCTTGTAGAAGAACATATCCAATTGAAAAGAATTTACGAGTTTGCTGCTCTACCTTTTTATTTGCTGGCAAAGCGAAAAAAGAACATAAGATAACAGAACAATTGCATTTAACAAACATTCACCATGATTAAAGGGGATTTGAAAAAAAATTATGAATTCATATACTGAGTATTGATATATGTATGTGGACTAAACCTTTTAAGAGACCTTGTACATATTATTCTAAAATACTATTCCAAAATGGACTATTCTATATTAACGATTTTCATCCAATATCATGTGTTTCAATACCTCCAATTGCTCTCCAAACCCCCACACTGCTTTTCAGTGTTTTATACCCCCCCCCCGTGTATTTCTTTACGTAACATAAACGTGTGATTTATGTCCTGTGAGTTTGCGTCCAAAGCACCCCCATACCAAATTTAAGGTCATTTAGGTTTATCATAGAACTTAATTGACACGACAAAAGTTTTTTTTTTTTTTTCAAATTTTCCGGCCATTTAGGAATTTCATACCAAGGCTCCAAAAAATGTGCATTTTTTGCCTAAAAATGGCAAAACCCTAAGTAGAACAATCTTAACCTTTTTAAAAATGAACAAAAAGACGGCTGGGGGTCATTTGGTTCCAAAATTAGGAAATTCATTTAACGAAATGACAGGAGACGATACGCGAGAGAAAACAACATATTTCATCCATACCTGGTATGGTATGTACTAAAATGTAATTATCTTCATTAAGGGGTTCTATTTTCTTATACTTTTATACTCTAACAGCTGTTGGTATTCAACGCTCTACTCATCCTTTTTAAACACGTTGCAAACCACCCAAAGCTAAAAGCAAATGCCTATAAGCACCTAAGTTGAGATAAACGTGAAGAGGCACGATGGTCGTTATTTGATGACTGTTCAAAAGTCGGTGGGCGACGGTTTCCCCGGTAGCGGCTTCAGCTCAGTGACGGTCCCAGGAAGGAGGTCTGTGGGACGGTCACGTGGCTCGGTACTGTGCTTTGGGTTCTGCTCACAGTTGAGTAAGGCGGCAGCCTGTCTGTCCACAGTGCTATCACCATCCCAGGCGCGGTGTCCCTAAAATACGTCATTTTTCGCCTATTAAGATTAGACAACCAGGTAATGAGCTATATTAACAAGAAGACTGTTCCGATACCCCCATTCCGATTGACCGCGCGCTCGCCGTGCTCCAAGACCTGAAACTGGCAAGAGCGCCGAGAGATCGCCAATGTCGCAATGTTTGAATTAAAAATTACTGTTTAGACCGTTTTGCACTGTCACAGACCTGGGTGGTGTATCTGCGCTCCGGCCAATCCAGGTCGCATATAGAGCGCGGTGAGAGCGCCGTCCTAGCGGAATGAAGGCCTTACTCAAGCAACTGGATAGATGCAACTTTCCTTTAAACTACAGAACATGTTAGTCACTGAAGAAAAGTAGTGACTTCTACTTTAAGCGTCTGACAGTTTTCAAAACCTATCCACTTGCTTGAGTATCTATTTTCTTTTTTATGTTTTCTTCTTTCTTTACCTCCATACGTAAGCGACAGTTTTCTGTATTTTGAAAGTAATTAGCCACTAATGATGCCAGGGGAGTAGTGTCGTACCGTGCCTGTGGCGGGGCGATCAGTGTCCAGTCCAGATGGCTTCAGGCCCTCAGCGTCATTGTTGCCCCAAGCTGGTTTCCTGATGCGAGAAATATACAAGAATGTATAAACATCAGAGCAGCTTAATGTTTCTTGACAGTGACAGTTATTTTAACTTACAACATGGCGTAACATGTCGTAAGCTAATAAGTAGTTGTTCTTGCATGGCCAGGATCAAAAGTTCTGATTAAATTTTGCAAGGTTCATTGGTCAATATAGTCGTAATCAGTTTATTTACTAACAGTATAACCCCCGAATCCAACGATTATATGTTGTTAGAATTCATAATCAATTTTACACTTTGTAAGACCCGTAAAGTTTAACAGTTACAGTGATTCGAAATCCTTTTGATGCCATTTTTTGATCTGAAATAAGCACTCAACATTACTTACACTTCAACCGATGATGGAGCTGGAGACACCCTTGGCCCCCTCAGGAACATAGAACCTGCTTTCTTAAAACTGTAGCTGTAAGGAAAATAAAACTACTTAAATATGTCAAACAATTTTTTTTTAATGATGATAACTGAAACACGACAGAAGAAAGGTTAAAGGTCTTGGGTAGTATTTTGGGACACTGATAATTTCTATCACACGTTTTTGATTTATTAATAGGTGGTATAATTTGCCACAATTAATGTTTCATCCAAACATACCTGGACTTCTTCCACTTCCACCAAACCGCTATTGCCAGTACCAGCAGGGAAACAGCTGCCAACACGATCAGACAGATCTGCCAGACCTTCAGCCCCCCCGCACATGGCCAGCTGTTGTTTCCACACTCACAGACATAACCGTTCACCTGTGTTGGAAAAACGGCAATTATCAGATTTGTAAAAAAAAAGACGATAGTAATTATAGGACGTAGAAATATTTAATATATGCATGTAGAACTTGCACCAGTGACTAGTGTATTAATTACGATCATATCACTAATCTTGAAAGCCTATTATTTTCTTTGCACGGTGTATTAAAGAAGCCATCTACACAGCGGCACTACAGCCATCCCCTAACCAAGACAGGGGGCGACACAGACTTTCTCTTACCTACGAGTCACGTGTGTCATCTGCATAACGTGACGTCACAGAAACAGTGGATTGCTTATTTCTTGACAAAGGCTGGGTCCGATTACTTGTGTTAGAAACTACAATTTTTAAAAATTCCCCTCATAATGATCGTATTAATCGATCAGTTCACATAACAACCAGTGTATGGTGAGCGTCTAGTAATCTTCGTACCTGGTCAATACACGTGTAATTGCTGGGACATGGAATTGACAGACATTCGTTAATGTCGGTCTCACACAGTCTGCCTGACCAGCCGGGCGCGCTCGTACAGTTACACCAGTACCTACAGGACGGGAAATTTTCACAAGTACAGGTAGTGTCGTAATTAAGGTATATGCAACCACCTGTGTTGCTATCTAATAATGAATAAATTGACGACCTTTATTGCACATTTTTGCCACGCTGGGCTAAATATAGGTCAAAACAAAACATGATGAAAGGATATATACAAAATAAAACTAACTATCATTACAAAAATTATACTTCTCCTCGCCTTTCAGTTATAGTAAAGATAAAGGAACAGATATTTTTTCGATGGAAGGTTTGTCAAGTCGCATCAGGAATATGGATTTTTCTACAGTGCTCAAGTATATGAAGTAAGGAAATAGGTTTTGTATAAGCCTATACAGATCATTTCTCTCTTTACTGTATAATCTACATTCTATAACAAAGTGACATCCGTGATCTATTCTATTCAAATTACAACATTCACATAACCTTTGTTCCAGACGGGTGCGGGTATGCCTTAGAGTTTCAATTTGTAGTTTGTGGCAGCTTATCCTTAGTCTTGTGACTGCATTTCTAACCTTCACATTTTCATTACTTAGGTATTTTCATTATATGTAGTTTTATACAATCTATACGATCTTAACTTATCTTTGGCAGCTCCACCTTTGTTGTCATTGTGCATTTCTTTGAGACACGTTTGAAAATATATGTATCTTAACCGTTGGCCAATAGAACTGACAATTAATACTAAGTAGTATTCTAGTTGCTTCAATCTGGTTACCTTGCTTATTACCCATACGTGATATCACTCTTGTTTGTTTTTCTTTTCACATATACCCAGACCCAGACTAACAGAAGTTGTTCAGAGTTTGGAAGTCTTATCTCAGAGAAGTCTGTTGCAGCATATAGAAGTAATTGTGAGTAGTAATAGTCTGACCACACGGACAAAACTAACCACAATACTCCTCTTAGAGGTCACTGACCTGCGTAATAATAAAGAATTGACACCAAATATATATAAATTCAATCATTAGAGCATAGCAAACACCAAAACTGCAATCATAAACTGTTACCCATCAAACCCTTTGGTCCTGTTCTTTGATGTACAGTTAGGATCAGTGACGTCACCGACACACTCTCCGCCATGTTGGCACAGGTTCTCCAAAACATAGAGGTCAAGGGTCACCACTCGGGACAGGCCGCCATGTTGGTCCTTAGCGTTGATCTGGATCACATCCTTACCTATTAATTTAGATATGTACGTCACATTCTTATGCATTTAAGAAAATTCAAGAAAGAAGAAAAAATGTCGCCACTTTTTTCAGCGTAAACGCAAGCGCGAATAAGAATTAGCCAATCATAGCGCTTCAGCTTGGGATAAACGGGGCACTAAACTGCTTTAAATTCTGCCATCTCTCGGCAGGGGGCGCGACTAGACGCGATAAGATCGGATCACTTTTTCAGCCAGCCCATTTGGCTACAGGCAGCTATAATGCCTTACCTGTGAAGTTTTCATGTGGCCTGTAGGTGAGGGTTGTGAATACCCAAGCCATGTCTTGTAGCGGATGTGGGGCCTGGATGTCACACGGATCCAGCTGTAGAGGTCCTGATGTACTAGTTCTCCACGTGTTCTCGGACTACAGAATACCACGTAGTGTTGCTGCTACAGGCTTTGAAACTTAGAAAGTCCACTTGTTGTTTCTGCTGTGATGTTGACATGGTGTCGTTACTTTCTACACTGAAGTCCAGAGTCAATGTGTCGGCTGTTTCAACATCGTATGCTCCCACGATGACCACGAGGTCCCGGTAGTACACGTTGGACACACGGTTTACCTCAACCATCATGTCTACACGTTTAGTCGGGACTATTAAGGCGGGGTTATCCTCAACTAGGACAAACAGGACCGGGTCGTCATTACGGGGCTCCACCTCCACCACCAGCTCCATGTTGATGCTGTGCGGGTTCAGGTTGTTTGGTAGCGTCTCTACAGTTGTGATGTTTAGCTTGTCTGTGCCGTAATAGTCCAGAAAAGGGCTGTAGTACACGACTGCGTATTCCTAAAATGAGAAAGGTAAAACGTGGGCATAGTTAAACGCATCACGTTAAAATTGCATTTCAAGTGAAAAGTTATCATTGAGCAAAGCAATTTAACAATTTTAAGTACAATTGGCATACCTAGATATTTGAATTGAGAAAAAAGATCTAAACCATATATAAAGCGGGCTTTTTTGGGGATTCCT